CAGGTTAGTATTTAATGCAGAACCAGATTCAAATCAATCATCATCATCATCATCATCAATCTATTCTCTATTATGTGTATGCCACTTTTACACAGTTACGGAGTATATAAATATTATTTTTAAAATTAAACAACAAAAGAGTAAACGACTTTATGCCTATGTCATAGGACTAATGAACATCTAGCTTGCTACGCTTGAAGTCAGGTGGTGTGGAGGCATCTACAGGGAGAGGTGATCCATAAGAAAGGCTTTAAAAATTAACACCTTGAATTGGCCCTGCAAGTTTACTGGCAGCCAGTGTTATTGCTCTAACTTACTGCACCAAATATTACACAACAAGCCCATAGCTACAGTGGGGCCTTTCGGGGCCCAGCCCCCTGACTTACCACCAAGGCCTCCCAACTTCACACTCACTCCAGGGCCCCCACCTTCCAATGTTAAATTTTATTTATTGTGCTTGTTGCCACTATGGCACGCCTCGTGCTGCCCTCTCTTGCCCGCCACTCTCTCTCGGCAAGGCAAGCCCCGTGCCTTCCACCCTCCAATCTCATGCCACTCTCTCTCTTGATTTTCACCAGCCGGCAAGGCGAGCTCCACCTCCAATCTCGTGCTGCTGCTGCTGCTGGCTCTTGCTTCTCTTCAGCTGGCAAGTCAAGCCCCATGGGTTGGATTATCCCATGCTGCTCTCTCTTGATTTTCACCAGCCGGCAAGGCGAGCTCCACCTCCAATCTCGTGCTGCTGCTGCTGCTGGCTCTTGCTTCTCTTCAGCTGGCAAGTCAAGCCCCATGGGTTGGATTATCCCATGCTGCTGCTCTGCTCTCTCTCACTGACCAACAAGGCAAGTCCCACCTCCACACTACTGCTCTGGTTTGCTTCTCACTGGCCAGCAAAGCAAGCCCCGAACACCTTCATCCCTCCGATTTCCAATCCGGCAAAGCAAGCACCGTACTGCCCAATCCCTCCCTCAGCTTTGGAGCCCATGATTTTGCTTCCATTCCTCCCCCCCTTTCCCTTTTTATCTTCAGAACTCAGCTCTGTTTCCCACCTTTGAATGGTGAGGATTCTTCCCTCCCCCTTCCCTTTTTATCTGCAGGGCTCAGTTCTGCCTCCATCCTTGAAAGAAATAAATTATTTAAATTAGCCAGTGCCAAGTGCCCAACAAGGAATTTAAATGCCCCTTGACTTAGAAATTCCTAACTACGGGCCTGTTACACAATGTACACTGATGTTTATAAAATGAATATGTAGTTTTAGCTCGATTTTTTTCATGAACTGTAGATTTATATATCACATTTTATTTTAATTTCTGTATGTATACTATGCTTAACAACTGAGCAGCCATTTCCACTTTGAACAAAGCAATCACTAATTAGGAGGTGGGAAACGGTCATTTAGCTTTCTTTTCTCCACCCAGCAGGGGTCAGCACTGTCAGAATTGACAATCTGTGTGGAGGGGTCCTCTTATTCCGAGAAGACTTTGCATGGAGCACTGCAGTGCCACCGTATTTCTGCTGAGACCTAGCTTTGGTAGCAAACTGGCTTCTCCAATTTGGGTTTTCTTTTAGTGTGTACACCACACTGGAGCAATCCAGATTTTTTTTTTAATTAGCTTTTTGCCTAGTTCTCCTTTCCTCCATTTTATCTTCATCACAGCCCTGTGAGGTAGGTTAGGCTGAGAGTATGTGTCTGGTGCAAGGCCACCCTGAGTGCTTCCATGGTACAGCAGGGATTTGAAACTTGGATCACTGGGATTCTTGTCCGATACTTGAATCACTATTCCACGCTGGCTCTCTAATGAGAAAATAAGTCTAATCCTATCCCTATAAAATAATGCCACTGGCTTAAAAAAAATTAAGCTATGCTCCATGGGCACTGAGGACACACAAAAATCCATTGTGAGCTATCTTAAGTTCAGTTGCAACATATTAGCAGGCATCTGAGACTGAACAGCTATAAAACCTTTATCACCCTGTAGGCCTCTCAGAGCTGCCTAGAAGACTGTGATATCCTAAAAAGCTATTTGTCTCAGTATGAGAATAGATAGAATAGATAAAGAGAACATTTAGGAAGGGTGCTGCTGGAATCATGCATTTGCCAGAATCAAATAGCACATGAAAACACATTCTCAGATAGGAACTCAATAAACATAAAAGTTCAAAAAGGTCAGCCTGGTATATTATTCAAAATGAAATGTATTTTTGTTTTCATCCTATTTTTCATTGTTTTTACTAATTTCAAACTCAAGTTACAATGAAATGTATTTTTGTTTTCATCCTATTTTTACTAATTTCCAACTCAAGTTACAATGGAACACCAAATAAATATAATGGAACACAATGATAGATGATAAATAAATAAAAGGTTTGACATGAAGCTGTTAGGGAACAAGCCTGATATTTGTTTTATGGACTGCTTATTGCTACACAATGGACTGTGCACATACACATAGGCTCAGAAAGCTGTACAATTTAGGTCACCTGTTGTGATGCCACACATAGAGGGTGCCTGCACATATCTTACATGTAAATAAGGTTTCAGCTACACAGTTACCCAGCCTGGTGAAGAAGCACAAACCTCCATTATTGTGAGCAATGAAACAACAACTTTGGGAAGAGACAGCCACCATAGCAAAGCTGCTTGTGGTCACGTATCATCCATCAACTGCTTTGTTCCTGAGCTGGCATTTCCTGCCAGATGGACATTTGGTTATCAATGGAACTGGCCAACTTCATCAGCACTACAATGAAGCATCCTGATGCCTAGATTTCATTCCTGTCCAGATGCCATACTTCCAGTAAGGTTTTAGGTTACAATATTGGCCATCTCTCCTAGGTAACCTCCCCTCCCTACCTGCAACCAATAGGATTGTTTTGGGGACAGACTAACAGGTAGGTGGGTCGAGAGGTTGGCACAGTTACCACCCATTTCTTGAATCCACTAGAAAAGGAGAGAACCAGTCACCTGGCCCCTCCTACCTGGCTAGCTAGCATTTCTCCAAGATGACCCCTATCTGCTTTTATCCCCCTTAAGTCCCACTTGCTATCCCCAACTCTTGCCTCTACTATTGATCTCTTGATCTATAGTCAAGAGACCCACACATTCCGGCTGGTTCTGGTAGTGTGGACTCCCTTTGTTTTCTATTTCTTCCCATCCATTCTTCATTGGAACAACCAAGCTTCAAGACAGATAAGTATCGCCCACCATCACCCCTACCTGCTAATGCAACTGTGCTTATTTCCTACTGTAATTCTTAGGAACTTGATTGAATGTGTGAGTGCATCAGTATTGTTTGTATGAGATCTATTTCTAGTAAAAGACATCTATTTTAACTACAACAGCCTTGTTATCCTTTACTGGTAACCCTTGGTGGGATCAGGACCTTGGTATAAATTGGCAAGAACCCATTTATAAATTGCCAATTGCTGTAAATAAAGCAATTCGGCTAACAAAGCTTCAGGTAAGGCTCTGAACCATTTTATGTCTCTGTTCTATCTTGAAAACTGAACACCTGCAGATCCTGAATATACATTTAAGCAGGAGGAAAACTACCAAGTATTTTTTGATATTTCATGGCACACTTCTGACAGTTTAGGGGCACAGCCTCCTGTGCCAGAACTCTACTGTGCATAATGATATTGTTATCAAACTCATTTCCAAGAAAAATTGCTTCAGATGGAGTATTAAGACAGAAGGTCATTCTGACCATGCATTTCATTGTTTAGGCACCTTAGCTGTATTATACTTCTTAGTCCAGCCCCATCAATAGGTTTAGCCCTTCTTAAACTAAACCATAGCCTGCCAAAGTCTTTTTTAACTCTCTTTTTTACTCTCCTCTGCTTTTAAATTTCCAGGTGCAAACAACTCACTCCAAGCACAATCAGTCATTTAATCTGGAGCAAGGTCTGTTTCTCAGCAGCTGCCACCTGCCTGCCATTAAACCTGTCAGGTAGTCCTGGTATAGAGATCCAGAAGCAGGCTCTTTTTCAGGAAAGCAGATGAGCAAACAATCTCAAGGCAGGATTTTCATAAAATGTGACAACAATGCTGGCATTTGGCTAAACAGCACTGTTACTAAATAAAGAGTATAATCATAGCATGAAAAACGGTGAAGATGGGAATACATCCTTCCCCCCTCCCTTATATAGGCACTCAGATTTGTTGGAATTCCAAAAGTGTTGGATCACAAAATCCAAAATTTGCATAGTCTGCAGGGTCACCTGTCACCTATAACCATCAAAGAAAGACAGAACCCAGTGTTGAAAAAAATCTTCAGGGTTTGGGGGGATAGTATCTACCCACTCAAGTGAAAGAACCAATCACTACCTGAGAGAGACCACCAAACAGAGTTTCGGGGGGGGGGGGGAAGCATTTGCTAAAATTATCTTTCTTCTTTATCCTAAGGAAGGTGAACCAATAGTTAGGTTACAAAGGAGAGTGGTTGCACACTGTTTTGATCTGGCATTAGGAAATTGTATCATAACAGTTAAAGGTGAATGGTCAATACTTAACAAGGTTGGAATGCGGGGGGGGGGAGATCGCCATATCTGTCTTGCATGGGTAACAGTGAAATGTTGCATCCACCTTAGGACAACTTTTTTTGTTGGATTCCAAAAAGGAAATGGAGCACTTTTCAAAATCAATGGCAGAAATATCAAGTTAGCCTATATGATTAAAGTTAATCACAAGGGGATGAATTCAACACTAGAGTCTTCTTCTGATGGAAGAAGCCCTCCCCTAACAAACAAAGCTTTTCTCCAATGGATAGAACCTCTTATTTAGCAAAAGAGAATCTGTGGACACAGCCCTAGCTTTTATGCCTTGGTTTTTTAAGCACAAAGAGAAATTGGGTCCTTCCACAGCTTTCTTGCTGGACAGCCAATTGATTGATAAACCCAGCCTCATACTTGCCCTTTTAACACCTTCCCTCCCTGTCTTAACCCTATAATAGTCCTCCAAATCTCTGAGCTACACCATATCTGTGTTGTCAGACCTGAACTGAGTGGTCAGTGGTGTTCCTGGCTTGTTCAGAAGCTGATCCCCACTATCCTCCGGTATATATAATTCTATTTTGGTCATGGACTCCCCTGAACATTCCAACATGCTCCAAAATCAGTTTGCTTTCTGATCTGTCATTCAGAGGGTCTCCCTATCCATTGGCTGCTTTGCCTGAGTCCTGCCTCCAACATTCTAAACAGTTTGCTGTTCATCTCCCCCCCACAGCCAGTCAGAACACAGAGGTCATTTGCATATGTGGCCTGGTTTGCCTTTGCCTTGGAACACAGAGGTCATTTGCATTTGCGGCCTCAGTGGCCTTTCCCTCTAACATTCTAAACAGTTTGCTGTTGATGTTCTGAGGTAAAATAAATTTCCCCTTTGTGTCTGTTGGGAGAAACCATGGTTGCAAATCTCCAGGTGAGGGCTAAAGATCACTCAGAATTACAACTGCTTTCCAGCTGGCAGAGATCAGTTCCCCTGGAGAAAATGGTGGACTCTGTGACCTTATATCCTGCTGAGATGGCCCCTGTATGACAGCCAATGTGACGTAGCAGTCAGGGCTTCAGCTATTAAAACTGATGTCCAAATGTTCTCTTGGAGACAATGGCTGCTTTGGGCAGTAGATTCTATGGCATTATATCCTGCTGAGGTCCCTCCCCACCCAAAATCCTGTCCTCCCCAGGCTCTACTCCTCAAATCTACAGGTATTTCCCAACCCAGAGTTGGCAACCGTGTAATTGGCTATGGAACCACTTTCCAGACCCTTGGAACCCAGAAAACATGGCACAGGAGGAGGTGCTTTTCTACCTTAGCTGTGACTGCATAGCCCCAAATTAACATAAGCCAACCTCCAGGCAGCACCTGGAGATCTCCAGCTATTAAAACTGATGTCCAGATGATCAAGATCAGTTCTCATGGAGACGATGGATGTTTTGGGCAGTGGATTCTATGGCATTATACCCTGCTGAGGTCCCTCCCCACCCCAAACCCTGCCCTCCCCAGGCTCTACCCCTCACATCTACAGGTATGTTCCAACCCAGAGTTGGCAACCGTGTAATCGGCTATGGTACCACTTTCCAGACCCTTGGAACCCAGAAAACATGGCACAGGAGGAGGTGCTTTTCTACCTTAGCTGCCACTGCATAACACCCCCCTCCCCCTCAAAAAATAAGTCAGAGGTGGAGAGAACCATATCTGTTACCATGAGGCTGTCCTCCCATTCTACCCACTTGGAGCAGCAAAATGACTTGAGACAGCCCTGCCTTATAGCTAAGCAGAACGAAAGAAACGTGGCTTGCTTCCCTCTGCCGCCCCACCAGCCACAGTCGAAAACACTCATCTAGAGCTTCCTTCTAGATCTTGTTGTATTTCTTCCCACAACAAGCATTACTCCTAGTATTATATATTCCAAATTAGCAAAATATTTTATTCAACTTACAGGGGAAAGGTCAGGTGAAATCAAGGGTAAAATTTCTGAGATAAGTCAATATAGATAATTCTGAAGTAAAATCAGTACATGCACAGATTTTAGTACTTATATTTCAGGCTAATGAGAGTTCCTTAAGCTATTCACAGGCTCCGATCACACCAGCGAGGAACTGTGGGCGGGAAGCGAGGCTGTTTGCCCTGGGACAAACTGACGCGTGTTTGCGTGATCAGACTTCCACCCGCCTGCCCTGCAGTTCCGGATACTACTAACCTTTCCCCAGTTGCTTTTTGCGACGCTCCTGCGGCACAACAAGACGCCCCACCAACGACTCCGGGACGCTGGACAGATGTGTCCATCTGATTGTGTCCCTTTAATCCGTGGGGGAATCGCATGTCTGCCACAGCTTCTGTTATGTATGATCGCAGCCACAGTTACTTAAAATCTTTATGTTGAGAGGCTTTTGTTCCAATGTTTCCCAAAAAATTCTAGTATACTTTCTTTGAGTATTCTCCTTGACTCTTGGTTTCCAGAAGCCTGGTACCGTCTTCCCAGTACCCAAACCCCTTCTCTTGAAACACAAGTACTTGTCTTGAGTTTTTAACTCCAAAGGCAGTTTCTAACCACACCAGACCAGGGATTTATGTACTCTTCTGAGCTAACTCCCTGTTTTACTGGGTAGGGAAATTCTCCTCTCACTAGAAGTTATATTCCCTTTCTTTGTCTCAAATGGGAGTCTCCATCTGACTACCCACTTATCCTTGCCAACTTTCCCCAGTTCTCCTGTTTGTGTTAAAACTGCTCTCAGTCAGGGCTGAATTCTGAAACTGTCAGTACTCAACTCTTCTCAGCTAGGGCTGAAATTCGACTGAATTCTCCTCAGCATCCAGAACTCTTTCTCTGCTCAGCTGATGTTAACCAATCAGATTGCTTGGAGCAGCTAGACTCTCTGTTTAAATGAAGAATTAACCCTTCACAGTCCTTCAACTGTTTGTACAGCAGTTCTATGCTTCTTAAAAGTGCAGTCCATCACACCCACATCTAGTGGGACTCAGGAGTACTGAGAACTTGATTTAAAAAGTAACAATAAAGTGATAACAGCAGCAACAACAGCAACATAAAATGTGACGACTAATGTTGTAATCCTTGAAGCTTCAAGGGGATTAACTTCTGAAGAACCTGGATTGATGACCTAAAGGGATCCATCCTTGATCCCCATTCAGGTACCACATATCTTGGTTTTGAAGTGATAATAATCCCAGTTCCAGGTCATATCAGCAGTTCCATGCAAATAATAGCTTTTGCATAATCTTTAAGTGGTTTACTGCACAGTTGGTGACCTAAAGATGGCTGGAAGATGTCTAGAAAGTTGATGGCGGAAAACTCACACTGAAACCAACACAGTGTGCTAATGAACCCACTGGAATCCCTATGAAGTGACAGTGATAGTGGCAAAGACATGTTAGTTCTCACCAGGGCTTTTTTTGTAGAAAAAGCCCAGCAGGAACTCATTAGCATAATAGGCCACAACCAACAGAAACTTATTAGCATATTAGGCCACACCCCTGACAGCGCAGCTCATTAGCATATTAGGCCACACCCCATGCCTTCCCTTGGCTTGCTCGGGTGCCCCGCAGCCACGGGGTGCCCAGGCAAGCCCCCCATGAAGGGAAAGGAAGGCAATTTAAACTGCCTTTCCCTTAGCTTGCCTGGGCACCCCACAGCTGCAGGGAGCCCTGGCAAGCCGGCCCTTGGACAGGCCGGGGACGGCATAAATGCCTCCCCAATTCTTCCAGGCCCCCTGCCTCAGAGTCGCCGGGGGGTCACTCGCCAGGCCTTCCCTCTGTAGCCACATATGCAGAGGTTTTGGCTGTAGTGGGTGTGGCCAATTCTGAAGCCAGCCAGAATTCCGTTCCTGTGCGTTCCTGCCCAAAAATAGCCCTGAGTCTCACAACCATCCCAAAAGTGTAAGGTATCTCAATATCTGCTGACTTCTAAATCTGAGCCTTTATTGTCTCAGGAACAAACAATTAGTGGTGACACCTTTGCAAAAGTTTTTTTGCTGACAAAATAACATGCATACATTCTGATCTGGATGCTACTGTAATACAGGCCAGGCAGAAGGAACACCTAACTCTTTGGTTACTGATGGACCTTTTTGACCTAGTTATTGTGATGGATGTTGACAGGTTCCTGGGATCCTTGAAGGCCACCACTTGTGCACTGGATCCTTGCCTATCCTAGCTGCTGAAATCATGTAAGGACACCATTAACAAGACCTTAATGTCTATCATAAATCAGTCATTAACTCAGGGCACCTTTTTCTGCCACTCAAAAAGGCTATTATCTGTCCACTACTTAAAAATAATCCATACAAAAAAAAAATGATCTGACCCAGGCTCTAATCTGCCTTTCTAGACCAAGTGATTGAGAAACTAGTAACAGATCAATTCCAGGTCTTCTTGGATGACTCCTCTGCTCTGGACCACTTTCAGCCTGGTTGGCATCAGGCTATGGGACAGAAAAGGCTTTGGTGGCTTTAGTTGATGACCTCCATCTGAATGTAGACAAAGCCAATGCTTCTTTGTTGCTAAGCACGGTTGGTGCTTGAATGGGAGACCACCAAGGAAGACATTGCAATGACAAACCACCTCTGCTTAGTCACTTGAGTTGATGACACTTTACACACACACACACACACACACACACAAACAGGCTTTGATCCACAGTATGCTAACTCAGCCATGCTGGAAATGATGTCACTGTGTTGCTGGTTATGTTGTGATGTTGCCAGCAAGAGCCCACCCCACACGGCATGTCTCCCACAGGTTGCCATTATCAGGCTGGCAACCCTACAATATATCAATAAAACAGAATGGAAAGTAAAGTACAATATAGAATCAGTATCAGATGCTATGCCCTGTTTCACTGCTACAAACACAGTTGAAAAGCACAGATTTCATACTATGCCTAAAAGATAACAGCATAGGTACTAAAACAGCTTGAGTTCTACAACTGGAATGTCACCACAAAAGATATCCTTACTCTGATTATCATTTGCTTAAACTCTGAATGTGGGAGCATACAGAAGAGGGCCTCAGCAGACCAACTAAAGGTAAAAGGTAAAGGTTCCCTTGCTCGAAAGCCAGTCGAGTCCGACTCTAGGGTTGCAGTGCTCATCTCCGTTTCAAAGCCGAAGAGCCAGCGCTGTCCGAAGATGTTTCCGTGGTCATGTGGCCGGCATGACTAAACACCAAGGCACACGGAACACTGTTACCTTCCCACCGAAGTGGTACCTATTTATCTACTTGCAATTTCTTGCTTTCGAACTGCTAGGTTGGCAGGAGCTGGAACTAGAGACAGGAGCTCACTCTGTCATGTGGCACCCAGGTCTCAAACTGCTGAACTACTGACCTTCCACAGCCTGTTGTTCAGCGTCTTAACCACTTGAGCCACCACAGCAGACAAACTAAACAGTTGGGCAAATTCACGTGGAAGAAAGTAATCACTCTCATTTAATGGCCATAGATCAACAGCAACACTTTTAAGCCATGCCTGGAAATAAACTGGGAGACTGATATTTCCAACAGTTTGCCCTACATAATGTGGTTGCCACGTTCTCAACCAGATAAATTTTCCAAACAGTTTTTTAAAACAGGACCACACTGAGTACTTTACAGGAATCAGAACTGGATGTAAGTAACCAGAGTGTGCATAACTATGGCATGATCAAAATGGGCAAAGTTGGCAGAGGCCATTTCAGGGGGGATCGCAGGGGATCGCAGTTCACCCAGGTGAGGTATGGGGGGCGGGGCACATGACAAAGCCCCGCCCCCTGCTTCCAGCCGCCCTGCTTCCGGCCCTCATTCAGCCAGGAGGAGGCAGGAGAAGAGGGAGGGTAAGTTGCTTCCTCCCTGCCTCTCCCCACCCCTGCCTGCCTGGGGCCAGGGAGGGCCTTCGCGGGGCTTCCTTGCACTCCCGCCAGCCTTGCAGGTCCACCGTCGGACCCCTCATGGGGCTTAGCAGTGGAGCTGCAAGGCCGGCGGCGGTGGCCGGGACCGTTGGGGGCGGGGTGTGTGGCCTTATGACACACTTCCGGTGATGTCAGGGGGTGTGGCCTTATGACACACTTCCAGTGATGTCAGGGTGTGTGGCATATGCTAATGAGTTATGCTAATGAGCTCCCCTAGCTCTTTTTCTACAAAACGACCCCTGAAAGTTGGTGAGCTAGCCAAAGCTGTCAAAAAGTACTTTGTGCAAAAGAAGCCAATTCAGCATCTAGTTGTAAGGTTTAGAATCAAGCTGTGAGCCAGATCTTTAAGGAGCAGTGTAACCCTATCTAACACAAGGAGAGAAACTCCACCTTTTGGGATAAGCAATCACTGACCAACAGAAGAATGTCTATCTTGTTGTCTGGACTGGGCTTCAATTTATTACTGACTCTAAACACCATTTTAGGAGGATGTCTACTGCTCTATCTGATCTATATAGCTGTGTGTCATAAGCCTCAGTCATACATGTTGCTAAGACCTCACTCCAAACCTATGAAATGCTTCACCTATCAGTGTCATGCAGATATTAAAAAGCACGGCAAACCAAACAGAGCTCTGAAGAAATTCATAGCATCAATGTTAAAAGTCATCCTGTATCAACAGTGTGGTGTAGTGGTTAAGACCGGTGGAGTCTTATTTGGAGAACCTGGTTTGATTCCCCACTCTAGGAGAACCTGGTTTGATTCCCTACTCTTCCACATGAAGCCTGCTGGGTGACCTTGGGCCAGTCACAGTTCTCTCAGAACTCTCAGTGCTTGTTGTGGGGAGAGGAAGGGGAGGCAGTTGTAAGCCACTTTGAGACTCCCTAGGGTACAGACAAGCAGGGGTATAAAAACCAACTCTTCTTCAACTTGAACCTACTTGGAAGGCAGGATCAGAACCAAAAGTGTATGGTGCTGCCAATCCATAACACAGGTAAAAATACAATGGCTGATGTCAAAAGTTGTCAAGATGCCAAGATAATCAACAGGAACATTATCCATGATTCACTCTGGGTACTGATAATCCAAAGAGTAAAAAAAAGTCATTAAGATTCTATAACCTGGTCAGAAATCAGACTGAAATTGGTCTAGATAATAAGTGTCCACAAGGAGAGTTTGGAGTCGCACTACCGTCACAGTCTTGATTAGCTTACCTGAGTAGGAGTTGTCAATAAGGACACTATTATTTATTTATTTTTCACATTTATATCCCACCCATTTTGTGCAACTTATTAAATATTTTCTTAGCTTATGCTATTTGGTTTTAAGTTTTTAGTTTTCTGAATTTATAAATGGTCCCATCATTTGGGCTACCCTAGAAGAAATAGAGTGTACATGATATTGTATCCTAAGGGTTGGTTTACACCAGGCCTGCATATTATGACCAATCAAGTAACACAGTCCATGAGGAGGTGAATACATTGATCTTAACCCTTTCTGGTTTTGCCATTCAAGGTTGGGAGCTATCAAACACCTGGCAAGCTATACATGGGTGGTGAATTGTGTTTTATGAATGACAAGTCAGGGAGACAAATTGTTCCTGTGAAAGTCAACCCCTAAATGAGCTGTAAAAAGGATCTTGGTGGAATACAGAAAAGGACAAAAACTGTTGGAATTGTTTCCAGTAGATGATAAAAACCCAATGTTGATTTAGCTACAAGCTCTACACACACACACACACACACACACACAATTTAAAATATGTCAGTGCAGATTAGCAATTATTCTTCCTTAGTGCCAAGAACATCATTCAGGAGTATCTGGTATCTGAGGATGGACTAATAGTGCCATATTTGGACTTAAGTAACTACAGTTCTTCCAAATCTTCTATCATTCCACTGAGATGGATCTTTGAGATTTGTTTCCTACAGCTGGGTTAAATAATAATTTATTACAAGACATCTCCCCCAGGCAACACAGTCAATAAGACATTTGGGTAAAATAAGCAATGCTGAGACATTTGTAAGATGAACGCTTGAAATATGGCTTCATGAAAGGCAAACTACCAAGGCCTGTTTCAACTAACAGACAACTATAATCATATTTTGGCAGAAGTAAGTCTTATTGAAATCCATGAAGCCTACTTCCTTTTTAATAATAGAATGAATGTGTAAATCAAGGATTATTAAGCACAAGAACTCAATGAATTCTTGGATCTCTTCTAGAAATAGGAAAATACTAGCTGAGACTTTTTACAATAAATCAGAACTTATCACCAACCAAGGATATCAGCCTGAACTGACACAAATATCAATATTAAAGTTACAATCATTCAACATTTTATCTTGCATATTTAATGACCAGCTTTTTCATATGCCATTTGAATTTAAATAGATTAAAATAATCACAGCATTAGTTACTTGCTGAAGTTTCCAGTTTGCGTTTATGAGGTGGGTCTTCCAAGATTCTGTTAATATCACCACGATTCTTTAGATCCACAGGTTTCTCCCACACTGACAACTGCATTGTAGGGTTGAAGAAGAAGACTCGGTCATCTCCAGTCCAGACTACACACCTATTTTAATTAACAAACTAGGCTTAGATAATCTCAAATACATTTGGGGGGCAAAAGTTACTAACTATGTAGTTAAATGGCTATTTGTTAGTGTCTGCCAGCTGCACCAAAACATAGCTTGCTGTACCACTTCTACAAGATACGTCCATTGTGAATGCTTCTGCAGGTGATTCCATCATATGTACACACATTGCTGATTAAGTGGCTAGAAAGTTGAGGCTTAGATTTGGGTTGACTTTAACTTTAGGCAAGATTTCTGACATGTGAATTGCCCTTAGGCAATGTTCTTACTCCTTAAGGCCTGATAGACTGGAAGACAGTAATAGGCTGCAGATGTCTGAACACTGACTTTGCAGCAAACCCATTGGAATAAAATTGTGTTACCCCAAATGAAGTTGATTCATAATACCTTTGTATGTGAATAAAATGTCATTCTCAATTATCAGAACATTTTCTATACATGCACGTATTCACATCCAGGGAATATAACACAGAAAGGGAAAGAAAGAAAGAAAGAAAGAAAGAAAGAAAGAAAGAAAGAAAGAAAGAAAGAAAGAAAGAAAGAAAGAAAGAAAGAAAGAAAGAAAGAAAGAAAGAAAGAAAGAAAGAAATCATCTGGGTTTATTTTCAAAATGCATATAGGCTATGGGAATGGGAGTTTCCAGCTGTTTTCCATCATCTGTCTACTGAATCAATGGCTGGATGTGATCAATTCTATGCAGCGGATGGCCCACAAAGTCTGCTTGTAATTGTCTCTGAGAAAGATGGATGAAGTTGCCATGATACAATGACTCAGTCTCTGTAGCTTCATATTAATTACTTTGAAATTTACTACTTAGAACTCTTGATGTAGCTATAATTAGGATATCATTCTCATCACCACATTTGCTTCATTTCTGATATTGTATTTCCTCATTGAAAAACTAAGGTTTATGTTAATAATTATCATTTCATAATGATACTCATTAACATGGTTTTGATGAAATCCATTTATCTGAAAGTCTAAATTTGAAAAAGCAAAGCTTGAAAACCCCTGAACCTCTATCATGAAAAAATACATGCATCTCAAATATGGGATGACTGCTGGATTCTGCTGTATTAATTAATGGATGGAATTCTCATGACAAAATTAATTGTGGGGTCAAAAGCTGAAAATAATTCCTGAAAATAATTCCTGAAAATAATTCCTGAAATATGGACTTGGGAACTGAAAAAAAAAATTAAAATCCTTAGTCATAAATACTCCACATGGAATGTACACAGCTGAACTTCCCTCATATCCAGTAGGTCTCAGAGAAAGAAATGTAACTGGATACCAAATGAAAAAATTCAACAACTGCAAGACAAATGAAATTTTCAGCTAGATCATATGAATGCAAGAAGTCACAGTTTATGTAGTGGGAAGAAATTATCACACAGTAAGTGCTGAGTAATTTAATTAAATGGTTACCAAAATCTCAAAAATTATTGACGAGTGATTGTCTATAGAAATAAGCTGTTTTCTAAACATTTTCATACATATTATGTGTTTGGCCTGCCATTGGAATCAAAACTTAGAAGGTTATGTTGCAAGTATTAATATTTGTTGTTCTTTAACATACTGTTAGTATTCTAGCTATAGAATCATCCCATAAGAAATGTAATAAAATTTAGAAAAAAATTAGGATTTTGTTGTTCTTCAGTGATATGGTCATTAATTCTATCACCAACACTATTAATCACCTCAGAAAGTATAAGTGCATCACTGACCAGAGTCTTTGGCTCCCAGTATATCATTGTGAAATTGATAGAAAGCTTTAGAAGCAAGAAGCCAAGCTTCTATAAATATCACAGCCATGGAAGCATGCACAATAAAGTGCCACCATTTGATGTTAGAAACGGAGAATAAATCAGTATTTAATTGATTTAAATTGGCCATTTTAGCTAAAATATCATGTTTTTATGAAGCAGATAGACTTCAATCTGCTGTAAACTGTGTGCTACCATTAAATACTAAACAGTACTCCTGTTACTAGGATCACAAAAACTCAAAGAAAGCTGTAACGACGGCTCTCTAGAGATCTCCCCAGTCAGTAATCAATGAGCCTGCCCTGTTCTCTTATGCTCAAGCCTCAACTTCTTTTCGTTCATCTTCCTTTGTTCTGACCCACTGGCTGACTGAACTCTAGTCAATCCTGTCAAGCTTACACAACTAGTGACTTATTCAGATGAATGAAGCCTACCATGTGCTCAATAAAAGTCCTGGTTTTGCTAGATTCCTTGTACTTTGCACAATACAAAGCTATCCGTTATTGGAAAGGGGATCGGTGATGTGCAATAGCTCAGCATTTGCAAAACAGCAAGCACATCAAACCTGTACACATTAACTAGAATACAAAAGAATTCATGAAAATTCTGCCCTTATGAAAATTATATATCCAGTTTTGTAGATGAGTATCTCAAATAAGAAACTTATCCTTTGTTGAGAATTGACATTTTGCAGAATAAAGAGATTTTGTACATTTCCCTGCATATATCTTCTCCCATTTGCAACTGTGACCATTTTACAGATTTCATTGTACTAAATTCTTAATTTATAAATACACATTTAAAAAATCACGTATAACATCCATCAAAGAGAAGACAGAAGGCCTACGTCTGCAGATCTTTCATGTGGATCAGGTATTCCAATGTAACAATTTTCGCATATATTTTTGCATGGCAGAAAAACATCTGCTTGGAATCATAGTTTCTAAGCTGGAAGGAAAACCTCAAGTCTTATTAAAACTTGAGGCTATTTAAAATATACTGAAGCAAAACCTCTCATCACTCCATATAGATTAATTTAAAAAGTAAGATAATTGATCCTTCATCTGTTCTAGAATCACATATTTGATCATTTTATAGCCCATTATTTCTTTCTCCTAATTTCTAAGACTCAGGCCTATGACTCAGACTGTTCCCATCACTTTGGTCGATGGGCGAATTCATTTCCTACTACAAATGCATCCATTGTGTGAGCTGTTACAACTGGGCCAGCTGAAGCCCAAGCATTTATCTAATAAAAGCAAGGTAATAGCTAAAATGGAAATGGCCCATTTCCACATCTGATTGAAAGACCAAGCAAACACCTCTGGAGAGACATTAAAAATGGCACCAAATGGCAGTTCCCTCAAGAAATCTCTTCACGTTTCCATTACTAACCCAATTTGACATTTAATTTAAAAATTATCAGTCTCATCTCCCAGCATCACACTTTGCTTGTCCCTATTCGGCATAATAAAGGTTTCAATTATTCAAATGCAAAAGTACAGTAATTTCATTTCAATAACAGGGCACTAGTTACAAATGGTGGTAACAGTAGCATGAGGAATAGAGGATGTTCTTAAAACTAAGGATGGAATTCTAGGCACATTTTGCTAGGGTGGCTGGATATCCTTTTGAATTTTGTGGGACATATTTAGGAACATACTTTAAGAGCATATTTACAAGTGCAGTGAAAGTATTAATTATTTGATGTACTGATTGTTCCCTTAATCATCTGCACCTGATGAAATGGCTCTAGGCAGCAAAGCTATTCCTACCATAATATGTTACCCAGTAAGATACCATAGGAACTGTTTTTACTTATTCTCAGCCATTATGTTTTTTGTTGTTATTGTTTTAGAAGTTCTCAACTAATTGCTTCAGTTCAAGGACCGTGATGATTTTCAGGATGTAGGCCCAAAACAGCAAGAGAGG